ATTATTTAACAAAATCTAATATATGCCTCCATGCACCAGAGCCCATCTCTCTTCCAAGTATAACTGTGAATAAGCTGAAAACAAAGAATAACCTTTTTATTGACAATAGACACCTCTCCAGGGGAAAGTAATATATAAAATTCAAGTTGGTTTGGCTAGTGACACTGTAAATTGGTACAGCCCTTATGAAGATTCCTCAAAAAATTAAAAATAGAAGTACCATATGGTTCAACTGGGTATGTATCCAAAGGAAATGAAATCAGTTTGTTGAAGAGTTATCTTCACTCCCATGTTTATTGCAACATTATTTACAGTAGCCAAGGTAAGGAAGCAAACTAATATTTATAAACATATGAGTGAACAAAGAAAATATGGTATATATACACAATGAAATATTGTTCATCCGTTAAAAAGGAATTTCTACCATTTGTGACAACATGGATGAATATGGAAGACATTATATCAAGCAAAATAAACCAAACATAGAAAAACAAATGCTGCATGACCTCATTTATATGTGGATTTAAAAAAAATTGATCTCATAGAAATAGAGGGTGGAATGGTGATTATTAGAGGTCATGAGTAGGGGAAGATAAGGGAAGAGGAAGGGTTGCTGTTGATGAGGAAAAAAACTTGTTTTTTATAAACTGTTTCCAAGACCTATTGATGACATTATGTGAGGACTTACTATACTTCAAAACATCGTATTGTATGTGATACATACATTTTTATATGTCAATTTTTAAAATAAATAAATACATTTGAAAAAATCCAAGGTGAATTTGTTAACTTTATTAGGGTCCCAAATCTATCCATGTATTAATACCAACTCATTTTCAACTTTCTGTATGTAGACATCTTTTATGTACACACAAAATGTATTTTTTTCTTGAATTTTTATAGCCCTTGCAATGGGCACTATACATACTATCACCAATCATGTAGATTTATATAGTCTACTTTTTTTTTCACATGCCAGTCTGACCTATTCAATAACCCTGGGACAGAATTTTTCACTTTTCTCATAGTGCTGAAGTTAGTACTGGGTGTGTCATTGACATTCAACAAATACTTGCTGACTAACTGATTTAGTTTACCAGTGATTCTACTATAAAAACTATTTCTGAATCTTAATTTTAGTTATAACAATCTGAGAGCCTTTAAAAATAACTATATCCAGAATATACCCCCAATCAATTTAAATATAATCTCTATGGGTGGGAGTGTGAAACCAAGTCATCAGTATTCCTTAAGATAAAAATGTAGATTTTCTATTTTTAAAAATTACACTAAATTCCAATGTTGTCAGAATTTTAGGGGAAAAGAAGCATGACTTAAAAAAATTATTTCAGGCAATATTATTTTTAATGAGGATATAAAAAGAGAGCCTCAGGTAGGTAAGGGCTTGTATGCCATTTCTTTTCATTTTTGAAAACCTTCTTTAGTAATGAACTCGAGCCAGAAAAATAAGATTAAGAAATCATAATATATTTTCATTTGTGAGGTTCTCTTACTTCTGTGGGTCTCAAATATATTATTTTGATTATGGTATTTAGATTTTGCCAATTCGTATGTCAGCTATTCTTCTGCTTCTGTTCCTTGCCAGGATACATGTTAAGCCAGATTCTTTAAGACTAGAGGTCAGGAAAACTACTTCTGTATCTCTATTGTATTTTCTAACAATGTCAAGGTTAGTTTTTTATTTTGTGCAATGTTAGGAAATAACTAGCTAAAGTTTCTTTTTATTTCCTCCCGCGAACCTCAAAAGCAGAACTGCAAAGAGCACATAATGGCCATTATTATTGCCAGATAAATTTAAGTCATGAGTTTCTGTATCTTTAAAATTCATCCTGGACAATTTGAGTAACTGTTACTTATTAAGAAAATGAAATGGATTTTAAAACCGTTCAGTGGCAGGTGGTTTTCACAATGTTTGTCTTTTTATCACCTTCTAAACAGGTCATGTAATATTTCTGTGTTAATATTAGAGAAAAAAATCTGAATTCTACATTATGTAATAAAAAATATTAAGACGCAAATACCAAAAAACTACAAGAAACCGTCCCAAATAATTATGATTTTTATCTCTGAGTAGCAAGAGATTAGGTGAATTTTTTTAATGTCTGTTTCAAATTCATAGTGTGCCCTGTATGATCATAATTATGAAAGCCACAACCATGAAATTAACTTCCGGCTTTTATAACTGAGGAGTGTTAGCAATTTTAAGGAGTATTTGTCAGGGGAAAACATGTTTCTGTCTATTCTATTGATCCGGCTCTATACTTAGAAGTTGTTCAACAAATATTTATTAAATCTCTGTTTTATACCTACAATTATAAGCATTGAAATACATGATTCAGTTGTTGCCATGAAGAAAGGTAGTCTAGTTTTCTCTTTGTGAAAAGTTGTGTTTTTTATATATTTTTTTAACACAATATGAAAGCATCAAAATTAAGAGTTGCTTAACAAAATCTAGCAATTCTCCTCAGCTTTGGATATTCCTTTAGTAACTTTCCTTCTATAGAGTTGTTAGTTCAGTTATATAACAGAAAATGCATACAACATACTGCGTAGTCCTCAACAAGTTATTTATTAGTTTTATGAACTTTACAATCAGAAAGAGCAGTTTTAATATATTAAAAGTGAATTTTGCAAAATCAGAAATGTAGGACTGAATAGGCCTTTTAAACATATTCATTATACTTTTATCACTTTGCATATATTCATAATTCCTAGTATTTATGGGGCACTTACTGTGTGTAAGATACTATTAAAAAATGTTTTTCATACATAAAATGCTTTGATCCCTACAAGATTAGATATTATTTTTATCCCTGGCAAGAAAACTGATAACTCAGTGAAAATTAAGACTAGCAAGAGTGACTTAGTAAATAAATACATCCAATCATTGAGAAAAACAAGACAGAAGTTTGTTTTCTCTTTTCCTAAAACAGAGACATAAGAATTCTATGTGTGGAAGAGTTTTTCAGTAATTTACTTTCCCCCCTCATTTTTTTGGATGAGATAGATGAGTCACGTAGAGAATAAATGCCTTCACTATTTTTCCTATTAAATTTATAATATGCACAATCATGATTACACAAATACTGTCCTATAGTATGGTAGATACTGTTCAGGTATCACACAGAGATCCCATCCTAGTGGCAATGCCTCTGTTCCCCAGTGCTGTGGATGTTAGCTACTAAGTCCACATTTGCCTTCTCTTCTCTAGAGAGCTGTCCTTGGCACATAGGAACCATTTTGCCAGGGAAGTCTCTTCTGCCCACCACCACTAATCACTGACTAATCAAAGGTTTTAAAAAGCTATCTGGAGCACAACTCTTAGTAATCAGAAGAAGCTAGGTTTTACCTGAGAGAGACCGCCCTTCCCTATCCTGCTTCATTCTCTTCCTTACAGTTTTTTTTTTTCCTGTAGTACATTTCCTCAATAAATCACAGGAGCAAACTATTTGCCCTTTTAACTTAGACTTTAGATACTCAAATAAAAATGAGCTAAAAGATATTCACTGCTAAACTTGGGAGACATGGATCACGAAACACCAGCAATGACCATGGGAGATATAAATGCAGAAAAGACCACCTAATCATGGGAGATGAGAGAACAAAGGTTACTGGAAACAGCCATTTTGGAAAATTAAGATCAGATTAAGGTCAATCCATCAGTCCAATATGTATTCTATACCATTAAGTAGAGAAGAGGGTGGGTTCTGGGTGTTTCTGGGTCTGCTATAGCCTGTAAAATACATTCTTCCAGAGAAAAATAATTGCATAGAAGGCAGTTCCAAGGTGACTTTATCTAGGTGACTGATTCAGTTTACTGAGAGCTTCCATTTCACAATTACATGGAATAAACACATTTTAAAAGTTTATTGGAGATATGGCAACATCTGGTAAAATCTATCCTGAGTTCTTCACTCTCTTATAAAGAATATGTAGCGCTCTAACTCTTGAACTTATAATTAATGAAACAATATACCTGCTGAGTAGGCACTGATCTGTGGTTGTACATTTTTGCCACATAAATCAATAAGGCTAAGTATAAACAGGAAAATAAACTGAGATTATTTAATTATGCATCATATAATACAACCTGTATACCAACACAAGTACACAGAAATGCCTGCTAGTGCTATGTATGTGTCATTTGTGAATTATTAATTTATATTCTTTTGTTTATAAAAATTAGAATTTAAGATTATTGTATTTTAGAGGTAAAGGGAATCTGAAATTGTTAGTCCACTCCACTTAATTTGTGCTGTGGAAGCAAGTCTCTAGTGATTGAAGCATTTCACAGAACAAAATCAAATGACAACAATTTAGCATGTAGATCGATCTTATGTTGAATTTCATATAACCAAAAAATAAAAGTCAATACAGGATATATTAGAACTCGGAAATACAAATGAGTTACAAAGTCTTTTGCCATTGTATTCTGAAAGACACCGTGGACTTGGACTTATATTTACAAAGATAACAGATCAAATTATTCTCCAAAATGATAAGGTTCAATAGATTACTAATAAACATTTCAGGTCTCTGTAAGAAAACACTGTGTTCTGTAGAGTTCACAAAAGTTATAAGCATAGGTTTAATCCTAGAAAAGAAATTAGAAAACCTTCAATGTTGTGATGAAAATAATTTGGTTAAGAATCATTGAAATATTCATCAGCAAAAATATGGATAAATTATTAAAATATATGAGTTTTCAAGAATAAATGCACTATTAAAAGATTTAACATAGCAATTTGTTTTTGAAAGCCATGCCAGGAATCTCATCAACTCATGTCAGGATAGTGATGAGACAACAAGCAATGAGACTTGAGACCATTGACATGACAAATCCTGTATCAGACTTTGTTGACTTAGTTTTACTTGCACAACCAGAGTTTGCCAAAGCAGGAAATAGGCTTCTCATATATATGGCTCTAACCTTCTCTCTTTCCACCTTTCTTCCTCCAACAGATAAAGCAAATATACTTCATCCTGCCCTGAGTACCAACGGTAAGTGATAACTCCTTTATTTCAAGTTGAATATTTTATTACGCCAATACATTTATACTTTGACAGTGGTAAAATAATACATTCAGTAAATTTATCTATGATTTGCAAAATTCTATTGATAACTTTGAGAGTAATTGTCTTAGGTTAATATACTCTTTTTAAGCTAAGAAGCTAGCATATAGATATCTTTATTATTCCAAAATCACTTTTATCCAATTAAATATTTAAATATTTTTTTTTTACCTTTCATTCTAAAGTAAGTAATATAATTATCATGTCTATGACTTTTGGAAACAATTATACTAGAACTACCTTTAATAGAAAAATGAAAAACTATGGTCATATTTGTGTGCATACTTTCCTATCAGTAATTTTTACTAATATTAGCAAATATGGTTATGTGTTAGTGCTGACATTATTAAAATAAAGATGGGAAGTCGTAGCTAGTATTTTTTAATTGGTCTAAACAAGTTATAGCACTAACCTTGAGATTAAAAAGTATTTTATATTGAAGATCATAAACATAAAATACAATTTGCCTTGTGAAATCCACTAAAAGAAAAAAGGAAAACAAAGTACTTTTTAGAAGTTTTCTAGTCAAAAGTCAGTCTACTCAGGCAGCAATATTTTTGTAGGTAGTCTAAATATAATTTATTGTGTATTTTATCTAAGTAATTTCCACATAGAACTTCATATTCTTTGGCAAACAAAAAATTATTCTGGAGAATCAGATATAAGAAGACCACAGAATTAACTAATGACAACATGAAGGGAATTATTTGCCTCTAGAGGGAAGATTTTACTTTCAAACAGTATTTTATTAATGCTTTTCTTCCCTATGGCTAAATGCCATCCAGGAAGCTCTAAGAGTATTTATGCTATTGCCAGAAAAGATCCAGTATTACCTCTTCAGCTAGTTAAAACCAAACCAAGAATGTCTGCCTGTATGACTAAACCTTTGAAGCCAGATCAAAAGCAATTAAAGTGATTACAAGTTTCAAGCCCGGGAGCTGGAAGCTACCATGTAATGATGCGTGGAAAGGTAAATTGAGGCCCCTGAATTGAACTCTGATTTGTAAGAAGCAGGGGTAAATTTAGAAGAAGAGTGTCAGAATTCTCAAGTCATGTAAATCCAATGCTGCTAAGAATTTCAATGATGTTGATTGAAGTAAAAGGGAGGGATATCATCCCTTGGGGGGGAAAAATACTTTTCAGGAATTGTCAAGGCAGCTCTTATTTAGCTATCTTTGCAGATTTTCTATATAATGAAGTCTAGCAGTTATACAAACTGCTTTCTGTCTCACAGATACCTAGTGAGATGAAAGAAAGTGATCAGAATAAAGAGTAAATATTACATTTTAAGTAAGAAAATATTGCATCAGATACTTTTCTGTACTATACTAGTATATAAATATATCTGTACCTATAGTGCACACATCATACACATGTGTGTTAATGCTTTTGGTGATGACTTTTCTGATCTGTATAATTCTTTACAAGATTTTTATCCTCCCGCCCCTTTAGGAGCGAGGGCTTTGAAGCCAAACAATCTGGTCTTATCCTCCAATTCTACTATTTGCAAGTATATGGCATTTCATTATTAAATCTCTGATCCTAGGATTGCCCATCTTTAAATTGGGGTATTGAGTAAAATCATCTACTACCTAGGTTGTTAGGAGTTTTAAGTGAGAAGCACAAAGGGTGACACAGTGCCTGTCAGAACACATGATCACCATATCTATGGCATTATTATGTGTGGCTCACTTAGAGAAAACAGGTATGGCTCTGAAAACGTGCATGTAAGTTTTTTTTAATTGTATTTTTTTAACTGACAGAATTGTATATATTAATGGGGTACATGGTGATGGTTTGATATATATAATTTATAGTGATCAGATCAGAATAATTTGCATATTCTTCATCTCAAATATTTAACATTTATTTGTGTTGGAAGCATTCAATAGCCCCCTTCTAGCTATTTGAAGCTGTATAATATATTATAGTTAACTATAATCATCCCACAGTGCTATAGAACACTACAACTTATTCCACCTGTCTAGGTGTAATTTTGTATTCTTTAACAAACCTCTCCTTACCTTTCCCTTTCCCCTGTACTTCCCAGCCTGCAAATTATTTTTGTTTGTAAATGTAATCCACCTTCATTTACCTTCACAGGTAATGCTTTAAAAAGTTCAGATTTTGTTTTTCTTCCATGTGGTACACCAGTTCTCCCAATACCATATGTTAGATAATCTGTTCTACATCCAATGTTTTTTAGTGCCACCTCGATTGGTCTGTGTCTTAAATTTTCTGTTCACTTTTGTCAGTCTATTTATTCATTCCTATAATAATATCAAATTTTCATAAGCAAAGCTTTGAAGTCTATTTTAGTAGCCAATATGGAAAAATACCCTAATTACTTCTTCTTTTAAATGGCTACTTACTTGTCTACAAGCCAATAAAAATTGGCATTGGAATTGTAAATCATTATCAGATTAGTTTACCTAGGATTGATATCTTTATGTTAACACATTGCATTTGAGAGCATGGAAAACTGTCAATTTGTTCAGCTCTTCCATTGTATTCTTTATTAGCATTTTCAAGTTTTCTCTAAAAAGATATTTTTAAATTTTTGATTGTTTCATAGATATTTGATAGGGTTTTTTCTTTTTGCTATTTATAAATGAGTATTTAAACCTTGTTTTCTAGTTGAGTATAACCAAAATATAGCAATGATATTTTTGTAATCTGGCAATGCATATAGCAAGCTTGTTGAATATGATGTATTCTCTAGATAAATGATTGTATCATTTGGAAGCAATAACAACTTTACCTCTTCCCTTACACATTTTGACAATGTGTGTGTGTGTGTGTGTGTGTGTGTGTGTTTATGGTTTTCTTAAGGCTTTGATCATGATCTTGCCAATACAACGTTAAACAATAATATTAGTCATTCTTTTCTTGTTCCCGGTATTAAATAGAATGCACCTAGAGTTTCTTCAATAACCATTTTATTTGCTATCGATATATAGTATTTGATTGCTACCAAATTAATGATCTCTCCTATTCTCCTTTGTTCTTTAAAGCTATATTTAGGAATTGAATTAATTACTTATTTTTATCATGTGATTTTTATTTCGTCTACTGTGATAAATTTCACCAATGAATTTTCTAATTTTGAATCATTCTTGCAGTCCTGATAAAACTTTAACTTGATCATGATATATTTAATGTATGCTTGGAATTGGTGAGTTAATATTTGGTTAGGATTTTTGTATTTCATCTATTAAGTGGTCCTATGTATTATTTGCTATTATCCTTATCTGTCTTAGGAATCCATTTCAGAATTATTTTCATTCACTGTCGCTCCTCAGGGTGCACTTTTGGAAGAAACAGCATTGGGAAGAAGTAGCCAAACTAATTTATGATCCCAAAACCCTAGGGAATGGGGAGGAATAAAGGTATGACTGTAGTAGCACTAGGGATGCTGTCACACATAACTTTGTTTTCATCAGTTCTTCATGCCAGGTGGTTTTTATGTTTCCCTGATGCTGGCTTGCTGACATAAAGCACCAAAATAAGTGTTTGTTCTGCTGTTGCAGAATTTTGCAATACAGGGGAATCGATGATTGTCTTGATGCAAGAGCAGGAACTAAAAAGCATTACCTTCACCACATCCTTAGGTCAGCAATTGCCTTCAGACATAACACTTCTTTCTACTCCACATTCACCACACACACACACACACACACACACACACACACACACACACACGCATATTTTTTTAATATTTTCTTGGATTCCCTGTTTCCCTCTTGCTGCTATAATTTTGTCAGAGTTAATTTTGAGTTGGCAAGAAGCCTACCTATTTGGACATCCCACTTGGAATAGCTTTCTCTTGTAAATGAACAATTTGGTGACTTTTCCTTTTAGCAGCTAAGCAGATTTTTTTGACATTATAATTTCTACAAAATGGAAAATTCGGGTCAAGTATAGCTGTTGAATTTTTGAGAGAAATAATGTCCTGCACATCAATCTGAAAAGTTAAATATTGTATAATTAAAACCTTACTTTGATCTATCTGGAGACAGGGGTGGAGCACACCTCATCAGCAAGGGTACCTACACAATGCATATTTGTGTACCTAACCCTTAACTATACCCCACAATTTTAAAGTAAAAAATACGTTAAAAAAATAAAAAATAAAACCTTACTTTGTATACTTTAGATGCTTGTATCCAGGGACATGATCAATGTTTTGAGAGTTAGCTCATGACTTTCTTTGCTGAGAGGGACTTAGAAATGTTCTTGGAGGATGTGGCTACAATACGGGCTTGAGGATTAACATGATCAAATGCATGAGGAGTATACGATCAAAAGATAATGAAGGTATAAAGAATCTGTTCTGACAAGAGTTATAAAAAAAGATTGTTTAATGAATGATGTCACCCATCTAGTTCCCCAGATAATAGTAACCAAATTTGAAATATAGGAAGTTTGTTAAGAAATGCAGATGGGATCAATTCCCAAAGAAAGGAGGAGACGGAAAAAGATTAGGCAGAGGAAGAAATAGAGTTGTTATGTAATGGACACCTCAGCCAATTCCACAAGTATCTCCAAAGGTAGGATGATGTTTGAGCATCGTCTTCACTTGGGGCTAAGAGGTCAGATCCTTTTACTCACATCCACCAGGCATAGGATGAGAGTGACCTTCAGCCAAAAGACTCTTTTCAGCAAATGCAGTCCCTGAAGGGCCTAACCAGCTGAGGGAATTCTGCTGGCAGCACTCCCAGCTGAGGGAGTGAGCGTGCCAAAAGATAATAAAAATAGTAATGTGAATACCAGGACGTCTATGTACATTAAGATGTTGGTGTTTTCAAACTGATTTGGTTTGCTTATTTCTTCCAACCTCACAAGAACCCTAGGTAGTGATCCTCTGTTGCCATTATTCTAATTTCACAAATGAAGATGTTTCAATTTCAATACAGCTAGTTAGAGATAAGCTGGGTAAAACAGCATTATCAACAACAAATACTCCTGATTCTTAACACAGTGCTCATTCTTTAAGATATTACCGGGTGCCAAAGGGTTAGGTTTACTCAGTGTGGAGCCAGGAGTCTCTAAGACCTAAAAATGTTGCTTTGTAATATTAAACGTATGTGTCTGCTTTGTACAAAATAAATTCATTTTTTCTCCATGTTTTTTCTTTTCTGTCTTCCAAATTTTTATCCTGTTCTCATTTCTAAAACATTGTAGAAATACTTACATAATTTGTATCCCTCAATTTTGGGATTCCCATTCTAATTTCCTCTCTTCTCATTCTAGTTACTAAGTAGGCAAAAATACTTAATTAAAATGCCCTCCAGCTGACAGTTTTCTGTTCTATTAACAGTTACATAAAAAGGTTAAGCATAATGGAGTATATTTTTAATTCAAAATGGGTATTCTGAGAAAATATTATTTGAATCGTCTGTGCCTTAGGAGTACTGTTATTTATTTGAAAAGCAAAAGAAAAGGATAAATATCATTGTTAAGATTGTGTTTATTTTTTTCTAATTTTCCCAAATATGTGTTCAGTAATCTTCCAGCTATATGCCATCCATTGGGACAGACAGGGGGTGGGGGAGGGGAGAGGGAGAGAGGCGGGGGACGGGGGGAGTCAGAGATAATGCGATAATGTGTCTCTTCTTTAATTACACTAATCCTACAGGATCAAGGTCCCACTCTTATAACTTCATTGATCCTTAATTACTTCCTTAGAGGGTCCACCTCCAAACACAGTCACTCTAAGGACATCGACATATAAATTTGGGGGGAGGAGGAGGGAGGGATTAAACATTCAGTGTCCTATAGCAGAAGGCTAAGGATCTGCCTTTTTTTTTTTTTTTTTT